ACTGCACCCCAAGCCGGGGCTGAACATGTACGCGCCACTCAACCTCCACACCTCCGTGTGCCCCCCTTTGTCCATCACCTGTCAGATGTGCTCCCACGTGGAAAGGTTCTGCCAGTCTCCATGCCACCCTCTCTCACCTGTTCCAGAAGATGCACAGCTGCCTGAGAGGCAGGAAGAGCGTTTCTAATTCTGCTCAGCAGAGCAGGGCAGGAAAAGCTTAAGCAAAGGCCAATCTGCTCATGTTGTCTCCCAGTCCCTTCAGTAAGGGGAGGGCCCATCCACGTGCGCCCAGTGACCCGGACTCTCAGCTCTTCCACCTGTGAGAAACTAAGCCCCAAATACCCCGGAGTCCAATTTCTAGCAGTGCACATTCATCCCAGGGTGTTGAGGACTTTTTCAAACGCTTTCTGTAAGGATGACAGGCCGTGGTTAAGAGATAAAGCTCGTCCCCCTGTGATCAGGGATTTGTAGAGGTTCCTACATCCCCAGAGGTTTGGGCACTTTGTTTGCTCTCTATCTGCACAGGTGCAGCAACCATTCTCATTGCAAGAGATTCAGAAAAGGGTTAAAATCCCAGAGGAAGTGAGGCAGCTTGGATTTGTGCTTCCATTGTGATTTCTGGTTACTTGAGGATAAAAGTATTTTCCAACAACCAAACGAGGTGCTTCCTGCTGATAATAGTAAGAACCACAGCGCATGAAGCCAGCTGTGAGTTTGGGGCAGCAGAAACCTGTGCGTTCCCTGGGAGACAGGTGATGTGGGGACAGGCTGGGTGCTTTGAAGGTTCAGTGGCTTTGGCTTGCTGGTACTGAAGGCCAAGTCTTTATGCCTGGGACTCATGAAAAGGGAGGAAAAAAGGAAATAAAGAAAATGACAGGAGAGAAGCCTGTGATGGAAAAGAAGCAGGGAGGAAGTCGATGCCACTCAGCACTGCTCTCCTTTCCCACTTGTTCTGTACTTTCATTCTCCAGAGGTTTCCATGGAGACAAATTGGCTCGATTTCTGGAGAGATGTAGCAGGCAGTATCTGTCCTCAGAAGCCAGTCCTGCTCTGGTCTCTACCCCTTGCTGTGCCGAGGCCTTGACTAGGTGGTGGGGAGGGAGTCTGTGATTTCCAAGTTCCCTTTCTTCCTGTAACTGACTGAGAAGAAATGACCGTTCTATGTTGCTTCCACTGTTCTTATGAATATTGAATCATCCCTCCCTCTTTCCATGCCCCCTTTCCTCCTTTCTAATTATGATCTCTTTCTTGCCTCCAGGTCTGGCAAACTCAGAGGGACAAGCCAGACTAGCCTGCCTCCCTCTCCAGTGAAATCAGTTAACAGTCAGTCCAATCTACTGAGCATTTGTTATGCTTGCGATAGACAGTCTCAGGTACAGCGATCACCAGCACCCACTAACGAAGGGCTACTCGCTCTCTGCCTGCTGTGCTGCTACACATTTTACAAACCCCACTTTGGCCTCACAGCAGCCTTGACAGGAACTGGCCTTTTACAGATCCTGCAATACAGGGCCAAACTATGTTGTAAGAATCCAGGCCGCTTTCTGCCTGCCAAAGTAAAACCCACCTCAGTGTAAAGGGACTGTCAGTGCGGCAGAGAGAGACAACGGACCCACCTTGCCCTGTCACCAGCAGCACTATCATTTCCTCAACTCCTGGTGTCACGGGAGGGGCGGGGACACCTGGGATACCACACAACCCTAAGTTTAGTCTCAACTCGTGGTTGTGATACTTTAGTTGGAAAAGCAAGATTTTGTTTTGTTTTGTTTTTTTACTAAAATACAGTAAAAAACAATCTTTGGACTCCTTTCCAAAGATTCTAGTTTAGTTGTCCAGGGTAGAACCCAGTAATTGCATTTCTAACCAATCCCAAGGAATACTGATGCTGCTGGTCCTGGGGTTGTTGATCCAAAACAGAGCTCTTCAAACTTCTTAGATTGCAAACCACAGTATGATTGTGGTATCAGGGAAAGATATCTGATTTCTTTTTCAATTCCTGGGACACAGTTCCCAAAGGCTTTGCTACCTCTCAAGTGTGCAGTCTTAGTGCCTTTTGCTCTCATGAGGAGACTCCTGGTGAACCCACAGAGAGCTTCAGGATGGGAGGCAGCCACCAAAGCCAACCCGTGGTTACGAGTTTGGAACTTTCAGTCCCACCCCCAACCTCCTGGAAGATGGAGTCGATGACCAAGAGCCAGTGACTTGATCAACCATGGCTACATAATGAAATCTCTATTTTAAAACTCCCTAAATGTTGGAGTACTAAGAACTTCCAATTGGGAACCCCTGAGGTGCTGGGAGGGTGTCTTGCAGAAGACACGGATAGTGTGCGTATCACCACCGCTCACACTTTGCCCTGTGCATTTCTTCCACTTGCCTGTTCCTGAATTGTATCCTTTACACTAACCCAGTAATAGTAAATAAAGCAGTTTCCTGAGCTCTGTGAGTCATTCTAGCAAATTATGGAAGCTGAGAAGGTTATGGGAACCCCTAAGTTACAGCTGGCCAGAAGTACCTGAGCCCAAAGACTTGCAACCACCATCTGAAGAGGGCTCGACTGAGCCTCCAACCTGTGTGGTCTGTGTGAAACCCCCGATGGCCGTGTCACGACTGAATCAAATTGCTGCACACCCAGTTGGTGTCAGAGAAACGGTGTTGAAAAAGACACCATGCATGTCACAGGTGATCGGGTAGGCAAATCCAAGAAATGCGAAAGTCACCCGTGAGCCCATTTCCGAAGTCGCTGCACCGTCCCCTTCCCTTTGCTGAGATCACCTGCTACCCTGCGGAGGGGTGTAATGGGCATGCGTGTGTCCCCACGAGGGAGCCGGGCAGCACATCTGCGTCTGCCTCTGCCTCCTCGACGCCACTCTCCTCCCCGTATGTTTCCTGTCTTGATTTTTATCTCATCTTGCAAGAGAATTAACCGCCACCCAAGCTGAGTTCCCAGCCTCACAGGATGTCTGCTGCTGAAGCGATCCTGCTGACTGAGATTAGGACCTGGCATCCAGGGAGATCACAGTGGGAAAGGGGACCCTAACATCTTATGACTCTTCTCTCCCATTAGGAGGAACAGCTTCACCATCCCCAGAACAAGTGGCTTCTCCACTCCCATCTGGGAGGATTAACCCTGCCTGGTTCAAGAAAGCTGAGATTCCCTGCATGCCCAGGAGCTGTTTGCAAAACAGTGCTGATTCTCCTCTGGACCCACCCAGGCGCCTCTTCGCCTCTTCGCCTCTTCGCCTCTTCGCCTCTTCGCCTCTTCTTTTGCTTCCTGACCTATATATGACCCGGCTCAAATCCCAGCAGGCTGCTAAAGGTAAAGTACAAAGTATGGCCCACAAGGAGATACAGTGTACCCAGAAAGGATTACCTGAGAGCTCTGATTTACACACACAAAAATCTAGGGAACGTGCGTGGAGGAGATGAGAAGGGTGTGACGACGGCAGAGCCCTAAAAATCAGATCAGACCACACTTACTGATGCGGACCCCTAAGCAGAGATGCTACACTTAGTGTTTCAGCTTAGAGAGTTGGGGCTCTGGGTGTATGGTGGAGAGGCCAAAGCATGGATCAAAGGGCGGCCACGGCGCGCAAGTTAGGAGAGCCCGACCTGCTTTTATTTAGTGCAGAGGAGGGAGTTCAAAGGCTGATGGAGGTCAGGATGTTAGAATGCATTTGTCATTAAGACCCACCTGGGAGGACCCAAAAGACACATCTTTCACTGTACTATGAAAAGTTTATGAGGGGAACCTCAATTTCCTTGAAGACCTCTATGATCACTCTCCTATAACCCAGATGTATGACTGGAACTACCACCGCTGAACTGGGAACCCTAAATCCAAGGGGAGCAAGCAGATCCCAGTGCAGCAGGGACCAAGTGGCAGCGCCCAACCACCAAACACAAGATAAATGTGGTTGCTGTAACAGACAGAGCCTGAGTCTTGCTCACAAATGGCGTTGACCATGGTGTTCCTAGACGTGGATGAGGTAGGAGGTCTACTAAATTCTTACTTGATCTGTATCAGCAAAAAAGTTCTAGGTCAAGTGAACAAAAGTCTAGCTTAAATCATAAAAACACAGCCTCCCTAGACTTATTTTCTTTGTTTTTGTTTTGTTTTGGAGACAGGGTCTCACTATGTAGTTGAGACTGACCTGGAACTCACTATGTAGCCCAGGCTGGTCAAACTCATAGTGATCTTCCTGCCTCAGCCTACTGAGTACTGGGATTACAGGATTGCACCACCACGCCTGGTACATTAGACTTCTTGATAAGACATTTGTATGCCACAGTGGGAAATCAATTTGACAAAAATTCAAGGGCCCACTAAATTAGTGAAATTTCTAGGGTTCTAATAGTACAGCATGTCAGATATCTCTTTCAAGATAAAAGATTAGTTGTTACTACTAGGAGGGGGCAAGGAGGAGGAGCAAAAGCAGCAGCAGCAGCAGCACAATACCTAGAGAACCACTTTGAATCTTGGAGGCAGCACATTGCCCATGAGGATGTTACTACAGCTCATTTACCAAGTAACAAGAAAACCTGCTAGTTTTGAGTGGGGCCCAGAATAAGAGGATGTTCTCTCTGCAACAGGTCTGGGCCTTGTCCAAGCTGTTCTATCCTGTGATTCACTATATCCAAGGGGCTGAAGGTGTCAGTGACAGGTATGGGTGTAGTTTGGAGGCCTCTATAGGTGAATCACAGCAAGGCCCTTTGGATTTTTAGTAAAGCCCTGCCACACATAACACACATTTTCAGAAACAATTCTTGGCCAGCTCTCAGGCTTCGACAGAGATAGAATACTTAATCATGGATCACCAAGTTACCATGCAATCCAAGCCACCCATCATGAACTAGGAGGTAAGCAAGAGGATGTCTGGAAACAGACCCCTGAGGGTGTGTCTTTAGTATTACCACAGCCTGTGATGACAGTGAATGGAAAACGACAACAGCCCAATACAGCCAAGACTACTCAGAAACAAAACTTTGGGTCACTTTACCTGTTAAAGAATCAAGACCAAGCTGGGCACGATGGCGGTGCATGTCTACAATCCTAGCACTCCAGAGGCTGAGGCACTCAGGAGGTCGAGGTCAGCCTGGGTCACACAGTGAGTTCAAGGCCAGCCTGAACCACACAGCAAGATCCTGTCTCAAAAAATAAATAAATAAATAAAAATAAAAAATAGCATCATGACCAGCTGAGGTGCTCGCTGATAGCGAAAGGAGAAAGAATGGACAGTGGAAGAAGGCAGTTATAAATGAGTCACATGACCAACTACAAAATGGGTGCTCCCACCTCTTTCTTCCTGGCTTGTTTTTGACAATGTATCTTTGTTTTCTCCCTTTTTATGTATTGACTTAAGATAAACTAATTGACTTTATATGGGAGCATTTAAGTGCTGTCAACTTTGCATCATCGTATTTAAGTTATGGTATATATCAAAGAGAAAAGTAAACATTACTTAAGGACTTTATGTGTTCTAGAAAAGTTTAATGTGCTTTCAGTTAGACACAGGGTAGTCATATTATGCAGATGGGGTTATGAACTTGCTGTTCTCTTAGAGATTAAATGTGGTTTAAGAAGATTCATGTGGGTGCTGAACTGGTAGGAAATGGACCTACAGTGATTAACTCTATGTGTCAATTTAACTGCCAGAGGATGCCAAGATATTTGATCAAATATTACTCCGGTGTTTCTGCGATGGTGTTTTGGGATGAGATAGATTTAAATTGGTCCACTGAGGAAAGCAGGTTGTGCTCTATGACATGGGGAGAACTCATCCAATCTACTGAAGGCTGAAATAGCATAAAAGACTGACCCTGGCCTGACAGGGACATTGGCAACTCCTAGTTCTACTGCAACTGGAACATCAGCTCTGCAGATTTGGGGCTGAGCTCCCATAATCACGTACCAGTTGTGTACGAGAGTATGTTTCTCCTATTGGTTTTATTTCTTTGGACATCCCTGAATAATACGCTATTTCATATAAATGTTGTTTCTTAAATTTGAAATTCCAATTATTCTTTGCTAGTGAATAGGAAAATAACTGACTTTTGCATACTAACCTTTAATCCTGCAATCATCTAAGATGCATTTCTCAGAAAGTATCTCTGTCATTAAGTGATACAGGACCGAAGACGCATTTCTACATCTTGGAGTTTGTTTTTTTTTATTCATTCTTTTGTATATTTTAGAGATAATTCCATGCCATTACCTACAAGACAAAAATTTGAGTTATTCTTTTTAATAACTGCATAGTCATTTTTATGTTTGACTATAATTCAGTTTTGTACCAACATATTTTTTATTTTTCTTATTAAAAAGAATAGTGTAATGAATCTTATTATTCACCAGTCATTTCAACATGTCAGAGTAATTTTTAAGATGAATTTCTAGCAATAGAATTACTGGGTAGAATTGCAATTTTGATAAATAATTGCCATATTGTTTTTCATCTATCAATATTCATCTACCATATTGTTTGTGCTTCTACCAGCAATGTATGATAATCCCAGTTCTCCTACGACTTCACCAAGTACAGCATGTTAAAGAATTGTTCAATTAAAAAAAAAATAATACTTTGTCTTATTTTCATTGCATTTTTATTATTTGGGATGAAGTTGAGCCTTTTTATTATGTATTTCTTTTTCTGTGAATTATTGATATTCTTTGGTTATTGGACAGGTTGCTGGTGTTCTTGCTTACTGTAGGTTCTTTCTTCTGAATTTAAAAAATGAGCTTATTGTGAAATCGGTTGCAATGTCGGTCATTTTGGCTTATACACTTTTGCCACTTTAGAAAAATTATGTACTTCCATCTACCAATTTTCTGTTGCGTGGCTTCTGAGCACTGCTATGGAATACATCAGGATTTCTTTGAGGGCACTTGGACTTTACCTTTCCCATTTACTCTACTGTAATTTATTTTTTTTCCTCATTGAGTTTACTGATACATTTTAGGTATACAGTAGTTACAATCATTATTGGGATCTTGTACCTTTACATGACAGGTCTTGGTTCTCATTTTTCCCCTTGTCCCTGCCCTCCCTTCACCCCTCCTCCCCTCTCCATTTACAAACACTGTATTTCCATTTTTTCCTATTTTTTTCTTTTCCCTTATTACCTTTCCCCTACCTACACCTTTAGCCCTTTTCTTCCTATTTCACATTGTGGAATTTATTTTGATGTAAGATAGGAGTTGTTAATTGAGTTCTAACCACTTCTGTGCGAGGGCTATCCAGGTGTGCTGACACTTGTTGAATTTTTCAAGTTTTTAAAACTCAAGAATATATTTTGAACTCCATCAAATGCCTTTTTGACATTTATGAAGATGAAAGTGTTCTTTTAGATAAGTAATGGCATGTTATATTTATTTAGTCAGGATTTCCCCACTGATATTCATGAGTAAGAATTTCTGTGGCCAGTATAGGCGTGTATGATACATGTGTGTTTTATGAGATTTTGGTATCAGTTTTGTACTCACTTCATAAATAGAATTTAGAAAGTTTCCTCTTTTTCTGTCCTCAAGAAGAAACAAGATCTAGGCACAGTGGTACACTCCCAGCACTCTGGGAGGCTGAGGCAGGGGCACTGCAGATTTGAGCACAGCCTGGGCAATTTAGCAACTTCACAAGACCCTGTCTAAAATATACAATTAAAAACTAAGAAAGAAAGATGGCTGGGGCCATAGCTCAGTGTGAAGGCCCCTAGTTTAATCTCCCAAAACAAAACAAAACCCAATAGCAGTATTTCTGATCCCTAAAGTTACATTATAGAAATCTCCTCAGATTTTGGGGATTAAGGTATGGGAAAATGCAATTCTCCATTTCTTCTGATAATTGGCCTCCTTGGGGTATCTATCTCTGGAATGTTTGGGTAAATTGTATTTTCTTGGCATTTTATTCATGTTTTCAAGCATGTTGCATTGAAGTCAGTAATCTCAATCTTTTTTCTGCTTCTATAATTATTTCTCCCTTATCATTTTGTATTTCGTGCTCCTCTGTTTCTGGCTTAGGATGGTCAACTATCTTACTGCTGCCTTTTTCAAACATTTTATTTAGTGTTCCTGTGTCTATTTTCAAAGTGATTAACTTTTTAGCCTTACTGATTCCTTTCTCCCTCTTTCCTTAGGTTTCCTCCATTTTTTCTTTTCTAAATTTTTGAATTGGATGTTTGACTTATTTTGTATTTTCTTCTGAGCATTGCATTAGTATTTCCACAGATAGTAACATGTGATATATCTTTTTATCATTTTTAAGATGGTAATTTCGATTTTGAGGTGGTTAAGGGACTATTTTACCGCAATGCGCACTTTCTCATCTGTAAAGAAACTGCAATTTAGTACTGTTTTTACTCTTCTCCGCCCCCTTTTAAAAATTCTACGTTAGACCCTACCCTTTGGACGCTCGGTTAGGAGGACAATTTCTCACCCTGATGTCCAGGACAGAGACTTTGGGATGAGAGAAACAGCAGTAGGAACGCGGAAGGGAGAACTCGGGCCAACGGACGGGAGCGACCCCTCAGGGAAGACGCAGGCGCAACCGGGGCCGGAAGCAGGTGCCCCTGGCGGGCATGCGCCTCACACCCACCACCCCAAATGCCTCACTTCGATTGGTTGAGTTCTTGGCTCTGACCTGGACGGTGGCCAGAGCAGGACAAGAGGCTTCCATACTTAACGAAGCGCTAATGCGGGAGACAAGGAGATCGTACAACCTCCCGTCCACCAGCGGCGGGGCTGGGGAACGTGAAGCTGCTGGTGGCGGCGGAGAGGCACCAGTGACAGCGTCTCCAAGTCTGCCGCAGAGGTAACGGTGGGCAGAGGGCGATGGGGCACTGACAGGTGCCGAGGGACTCGGGAAAGGAAGGACAAGAATCTGCGCATCTTTGGGTTTTGCTTCGCATCCCCACTGCCCGGAGCGAGCACGCCCAGCCCCCTCTCGTCCCTCCCCACAGGACACGGGGTACAGATCGCTTTTCTGCTTCCTCTGTTTTTCTGTTTTTCTCCATTCTCCCGCATTTATTCATCCATCATTATCTAGGGACTCATAGGCTATTATTCCATGGAGAGTAATCCGTCAGTATTCGTTTGTCGCTCAGTTACACTGCTTTTTCTTTTCTGCATGTTCCTGCCATTCCAACTTCTAGCACAAGGTGTTCCAAGCTCACTTTATTGTTTCTCTGCTTTTGCCTCAGAATCAGCTATTTCTCCAAAAAGTCCTTGTTTTCCTTTATTAAATATATTGCCATACGAACATCCATCTGCACACGTTTCTGCCTATATCCATATGTCTTCACATGTATTTTTTAAAAACCCACAAATTTATAATGACACCTCAGTTCCGATGCAGCATCTCAAGGTTTGCTTTGGTTTCCCCTTTCCATAATTCTGTCGGCCTTTTTTTTTTGAGAGCAAGAAAGTTGGCTCTCACTGTTCACAGTATAGTCACGTATTTGCTTAATCCTATCATGTACATAGTTTCAAAATTGCTTTCCCATACCATTGTGGAAAACAAGCTAACTCATCAGAGTTCAGTACTGGTTTACAGTTGTATTTTTCCTTAGCTTCTATAAATAAAAAGTGTAAAAGTTAGAAAGGTTGTGGTTATATAGGCTACAAAATCTCTGTAATTAAAGTATGAAACCAATATGTGAATATATAAAAACACAAGTAGAATAGAACAGAAAAATAAAAAGCTAGTCCTAAGTGCACATGGAAATATAAGGATGGTACCATACATAAGTGGGACAGAGTTGGATTTTATAATAAAATGATGCTGGGCCAAAAAGGATGACCATTTGGAAAAAGGTAAAATTAAACCTGTGTCTTATATCATGTACAAAAATAAAGTCCAAATGGACTAGGGATCTCAGTGTAAAAAGTGAAACCATCCAAAGAAAGAAAGAAAGATATTCCCTCACTATCATTCAAAATCCACAAGCAACAAATGAAAAAATGTGATTAATTTGACTACATAAAAAAATGGCATGGCAAATCCACCACAAATAAAGTCAAAAGACAACAAACTGGACTACAAGAAAATGTTTGGAACATGTATCACAGGTAAAGGATCTTTACCTTTAATATTTAAATTTGAATTTAAATATTTTCCAGATATAATATAATTTTCTCCATTTCCAATCAGCAGTGGCACACCGATTGTGCTTTTTGCATCTAAATATGTCTAGATGGATAGGGAATTATATTGCCTTTATAGATAAATAGCATTCATTTAAAAAATACTTATATCCTGTGTCTTAGGGCCTTGGAAGTAAGCCTCAAGACAGGAATGAATGTTTAAATGATTGATGAGAAAGTTTCCAGAAAAAAAAATAAAGGAAGGGCAAGGGAATAGGATGGGAAGGGAGAGAGGGCAAGCCAGCTGCCAAGCCAGGGGCTCTGTTGTGTCTGTCCCCAGAGACAGCCGCACACAGTACAACTGTGAGGACAGTGTAGTGAGCTCTTCGGCTGGTTGTGTGTCCATCCTCACCCATCAGTCATTGGCTAAGGGCTGCCCCCAGGGCAGCTACCTTCCCAGATGCTTCAGGTTTATTAAAAATGAATACTAGTTTCAGACAGTATACAGTGGGATTTTCAATTTTTGCCCATGCACACATGGAGCTACAGGTCTGGAAAACTGACAGGCTGACATTTGCACTGTTTCAGGCTGGACCAGAATCAGTGCCCTTTTTGTTGATTGTTGTCAATTTTTTTGTTTTGTGTTTGAGACGTTCTCACTGTGTAGTCCTGGGGGGCCTTGAACTTGTTATGTAGCAAGCTCCTGGCGATCCTCCTGCCTCTGCCCCTGGCATGCTGGGATTACAGGTATGCACTTGTCAAGTTTAAATGTGCAACATGAAAAGTGCGATGATGCATTACTACTTGAGAATCTTTGTTCTCTGTGATCGTTTCAGGCTATTTTCAAAGCACATTGGTATATTAGCTATGGAATAAAGTTTATCTTAACAAAGCTGTAGGCACTATTAAGATCAGGATGAGATAAGCCAGTTTCCTGTTATAGAAAGATTTTTATTTTTTAGAATCAGTCTCTGCTTTTGAAACAAAACATTAATTGGTACATTTTAGATACATACAATGGTAACACTCATCATAGGAAATTTGCAGCGGTACATGATATATCTTCTTTTTTTCTCTCATTGCCCTCCTTCGACCCCTCTTCCCCGCCTCATTTACAAAAGCTTTGTTTCCATTTTTCTTTCTATTCTTTTTTTTTTCTTGGCCCTTCTTCCCTTTCTCCTTACCCCTCCCTTGTTCCCCTTTTCATTTGAACATTTTCTTCACACTTCCCTGTATCTATTATACATTTTAGTCCTTATCTCCACTTTTGGTTTCTCACACCAAACAATGTGGTATTTAAACATGGGTCCAGTTTATCTTCCTTAGAGTGTGGTGTCGAGGGGCATCTGCTTGGCTAGACACGTCTCCAGCTTATCCTTCTTTATGGCAGAGCAGTGCTCCGCTGTACATTCTTAAAAACATACATCTTCCGAGATTTAGCTACTACAGACTGTGCCGCTGTAAACTGGGTGTGCATATGTAATGGCGGTGTGATGCTTTTAATTCTTTTGGGAAGATAACCACGAAAGGAATAGCTGGATCAAATGGAACCTTTAGTTATAATGTTTTGGGGAATCTCCACACTGATTTCCACAGTGGTCGCTCCAGTCTGAACTCCCACCAGCAGTGGAGAAGGGCTCCTTTCTCCCTACAGCCCTGAAAGCATTTGTTGTTGGTTGATTTCTTGGCAGCAGCCATCTTTCTGAAGTGAGACGGAATCTCAGCATTGTTTTAATGTGCATTTCTTGAATGACCAGTAATGTTGAACATTTTTTCATGTATTTATTTGCCATTTCTACCTCTTTATCTGAGATGTGTCTTTTCATTTCAAATGCCCGTTTATGGTTTGGGTCTTTAAATTTAGGGGGGGGTTCTGATTTTTTTGAGTTGTTTATATTTTCTACCTATTAGTCCTTTGTCTGAGGAACAGCTGGCAAAATTTTTTTCCAACTCTGTGGGTTGTCTCTTTACTCTGTTGGTGGTTTCTTTTTCTGTGCAAAAGCTTTTTAATAAGATGAGATCCCAGATGTTGATTCTTTGTGTTATTTCTGATGCGATCAGGGTTTTGTTCATAAAATCTTTTCCTGCACCAGTCTTCAAGTCTTTCTTCCAGCAGATTTAGTGTTTCTGTATTAATATTTAGATCTCTGATCCATTTTGGTTTGAGTTTAGTGCATGTGAAATATATGGGTTTAGTTTTAATCTTTGGCAAGTGGAAAGCCAAGTTGTCCAGCACCATTTATTAAAGAGGCTATCTTTCTTTCAGTGAAGTGTTTGGCTCTTTTGTCAAAGATAAGGTGACTTGTTTCTGCATCTTCTAATCTGTTCCATTGATCCTGGGGTCTGGGTTTTGTTGTTGTTTTGGTTTTGGTTTTGGTTTTTTTTGTTTGTTTGTTTTTTGAGACAGGGTCTTACTATGTAGTTAAAATTGACCTGGAACTCACTATGTAGCCCAGGCTGGTCTCGAACTCACAGTGATCCTCCTGCCTCAGCCTCCTGAGTGCTGGGATTACAGGCGTGTGCTATCACGCCCAACAACCATGCTATTTTTATCACAGTAGCTTTGTAGTACAATTTCAAGTCAGGGATTGTGATATCCCCTTGCCTTCTTTTGTTGCCCAGAATTTCTTTTACTATTCTCGGTCTCTTCTGGTTCCAAATGAGTTGTAGGATTGTGTTCTCTAATTCTGTGAGATATGCTCTTGGTATTTTGATTGGGATTGCATTAAATCTGTATAAAAATGTTGAAAGAATGGCCATTTTCACCATATTGGTTTTTCCTACCCAAGAACAAGGGATATCTTTTCATTATCTGATATCCTCTTTGATCTCCTCTTTCAGGGTACTGTAGTTTTCCATGCAAAGGTCTTTTACTTCCTTCATTAGATTGATTCCTAGGCATTTCACTTTTTGGGATACTATTGTGAAAGGTATGTTTCCCTAATTTTTCTCTCAGTGAATTTGTGTACCAGAATACTATTGATTTTTGAGTGTTGACTTTGTATCCAGCTACACTGCTGAATTTGGTTATGAAATCTTGAAGTCTTTTGGTGGCGTTTTTGGGGTCTTCTATGTAGCGTAATATGTCATCTGCAAATAATGATAATTTAACTTCTTAAAGACATTTATTTTTAAAGTTAATGATAATCAGTAAATATGTCTGAACAATATGCTTCTTTCATAATTTATACATCTTATATGTTGAATAATAATGTGAGAAATGTTTAGTCTCTGTTTTTTTAAATTATCTAGCTGGTATTTCAAGGAAACTAAGTATCCCTGGTTTAGAAAGACACAAAAACTAACATAAAATGAGATGATGATGTAGTATTTGTTGAGTTTCTCCACTGGGAAATTCTTCTCTTTCCTTCCTTCTCTGCTGTACTAGTTGTAAGGAAGTCACAGTACTCAGCTCACTCTTACGTAAAACATTTTTTAACTCTCAAATTACCCATTTTTGATGAACCAGATGAAAATATTGAGCTAGGGCAGTGATGGGAAACCTGTGGCAATACGTATTGTTTTTCTTTTAACCACTTAGCAGTCCCTTTACTTAAATACAGGATAGCCAAAAGGTGCATATTTTTTCATTCATTTTATAAGATAACTGGAAATATAAAAACAACAGTTTCATCAAATTTATCCAGTACAAGAATCCACTGGTTGAAATGATGCCTGACAGCGCTGCCCAAGTAAACTAAGTGGTTAAAAAAAAAAAAAAAAAATGTATGAGCTGTTTTTTTCTAAACTAAACCTCAGTATTCGGGTTTAGTTTCGGTGTTGACACTGCAATAAATCAGTGGGTTTGGGGTTGCAGCCGGGGCCCTGTCTCTCGCCACCGGCAGGCCGGGTGTCGTGGTACAGCTGTAAAGTGCTGTATTGTCCCCCCGCCGCCCAGAGCAAGGGTTTCCCACAATCTCTGTCTAACTCGGTTCTATAGTAAGACAGGGACGCTTGGTCTCAGACATCTCTGGAGCGTTGTCATGAGAACGGTGCTATCTGCTTAGTTGGATTTTCAGCATTGTTCAGTATTGTCTCTTCTTTAAGGTCATGTTGCTTTCTGCCGCAGTGCTAATTAACATCCCAGACGTTATCAAGAAGATAATGAGAGAGGACTTCAAATTCTGAAGAGGGAAGAGTTGGCACATGGAGGGATCGTTGTGTCACGGGAGTTTTAAAAGAGGGTAATGTTTTTCTCTTTGGTACATTTAAAAACAAGGCCAAGGCCTTTTGATTTCATCTGTTTTGTTCAAGCTCTTTCTAAAATTGGAGAAACTAGTATCATGTAATATGGCCAGCAGAGTAAACACAAGAATAAAAAAACTACTAAACAACTGTACCAGCTAGAAGAAAAACTGGGATGAACCTTTTTTAAATCCCCAGTCCTTTGTTCTAAGATTTTTGGTGCAGTGATATCTGTATTTAGGTATAATTAATTGAGTAAATGGTCTCTTCCACCAGGCGAATGGAGAAGCTTTTTGTTCCAATGCTGAGGTGCATTAACGTCTTCCTTTCGGAAATACTGTAAGAAATGGAATTGTGAGCTCTTTAGAACAGATGAGAAACTGAGCAGTCAGGCTGTTGCTTGAAGAGCAGAAGGCAAAGTTTATACGGACTTCTGGAACGTGCATGACTTGATCTCAGTTTCCAGAGAGCTGTTGTTGTCTAGCTTTACTCATTAAGATGCTGTGGCTGGTTTTCTTAGTAAGCAGAGGCAGGATCTGGTTCCAGTGTAGCGGCGCAGTGCTACACTGTCTGTGCTTCCTGCTCTAAATAAAACTGTCACCTTCCTGGCCCTGCCTGCTGGAACCCAAGCAGCAGGGATGCTTGGTCTCATACAGGGCTACCATTAAGAACCACTTGACAGGTGACTCTTGAGAATTAGGGCTTTGTTGATATTTTGCAGGGGGTGCCAGAAGGAAAAAGAAGTTATCCGGAGAGGATTCAGGTGAGTGACTAATAGTATTTTTAACGCTCTTGACTAAGTGGTAAGTATTCCAGTTCCATGTTTAATTACAATATTGATCTGCCAAAAGTTGGCGTGGGGAAAGGGGATATCCCTTTGCCCATTCTAGCTGTGGGGGAATGAAGATCCCATCCCACAGTGATGTGTAATATATGTGTGTGTGTGTGTGTGTGTGTGTGTGTGTATACACACACACACACACACATATATGGTTCATTGCTACTTTGTGTCACACAGAAGTGGGCAGGGTCTCTCTTCAAATCAGAATTTGGATATATACTATCAAATCAGATTCTTGACTTTTACGTACAGCGAATGTTCATGGTTATACGCTGTGAACTGCCTGCTAGTCAAAACTACATTCTCACTTAAGTATATTTGATCTGCTTTGGATCCTTTGCTTTCATTCTGGCAAAATAAATTCATGTATTGGTTTGCCAGGTGGTTGTTGTTAGCTGGAGAACTTTTAAAGTCAGGCAGACGAATCTGGAAAATAATCTTAGCATTTGTTTAAATTGCACTTGGGGAGATTTGTGGTTGATTAGCAAGCTGTGAAAAAGCAAGTGTGATTTGTAGCTCAGATTTTGGACCTTATAGTGTTTATAGTAAAACATAAAAAAACCAATAACGATGTTAGAACCGTTTCTCTTTAATTTACATGTATTTTTTTTAAGTCATGTTGTTCATATCTTGTGTTTTCTTGACAGTTTATAATGGGAGCTTTCTCAGCATTTTATGGTAGCAACTTATCTGTTCTGGCTTACTTTTAGTGGCTTTAGCACTAATAAATAGAATTGTGCCTCGCTACTAATGTAAAAATCACTTTATTTTCAACAAGTAGTTGAGAGGAGTAAATAAGAAGGACGTAATCAGAAACATCATGGGCCCAATTTAGGACAGAGATTCATAAATGAAAGAGCATGATGTTTGGATAAATAATGGTCAGTTTCTTTATATTTCTTTTTCTCTCGGCTTGGTGGTTTGATATTTTAAATTACTCCAGCAAGGATTTTTTGACTGGTTGTTTTGTTTTGGTGGAGAGCTGTGGTGGCTAATATGCTAAACTCATTTTTGTTGCAGTTTCTGAACTGAACTGAACAGAAAGCAGTGGTAATCACAGGTTAAAACAATAGGTCTTTAGAAAGAGTTTAAGTCCTGGGCCAAGGTTATCCCACAGAACTTCGTGGGCAGAAATGTCCTCTGTGCTGCCCCGCAGGAATCACTCATCGCTCGTGGGTAACGGGACGTGATTAAAGCAGCAGAGAAACTGAGTTTTCTATTCAATTTTAATTATTTTAAATTTAAAGTTACATGTGGCTGAGGAGTTGAACAACATAATCTTAAACAGTAGTTCACATTTCAGAGCATTTACATTTTCACTTAACATTTGCAAAAGTGCGCCAGAGCGGGCTCTGTAACTGTTGCTTTCTCTGTCTCTGGGGTAGACGAGGCAAGCTGCTGACCATGCTCGGCTTTGCCGTGGGCTTTCATTTTACTACTACACACCCAGCACTGTTCTGCTGTGAAAATAATGCTGGGATATCCAATAAAAATCTCATTTTGCAGCTGGGTGAATCTTGAATCCTTTGTATTAACCACAACATTTTTTTCTTTTTCTGTAGATATTCTAATTAATATCTAGTGCTTCAGTTAAAAGCACTCTATATTTAATTTGGGGCAAATAAGCAGACAATCGTGTTTAACAAGTAGTTCATGCTGTTCAGCAGTTGGTGCACTACCTGATTAGTACTATTTTGATTAATAATTTTTCTTTTTTTCAGAATTGGTGGCAAGGGTCAATTTAGGAGACCCTGATTGTGATTGTAAGTATTAAAGACAAGGATTCTTTGTGTTACTGAGATTTTTCTACACCGTTACAGTGGAGGAAACATCTGTGGGTGTCATGGATTTTATTCAACTCCTGGGATGAGAGAGTACCTGCTCTTGCTGAATAGGCAATGAGAATGCATTGTGCTTTGTCTTTGGGAATATCTGAACATTTTTCTCAATGCTGAAAGCAGATCAGAATACAGACTGTGATAGCAAAGCAGTCTGAGTCATGAGCTCATGTTAGGATAGTCATTGGCTCTTTGTCAGATTAGACTGTTGTGGTTAGGTATAAAAGTAGAGTTTATAAGAATTTTTCAGCTGGGCGTGGTGGCTCATGCCTGTAATCCCAGCACTCGGGAGGCTGAGGCAGGAGGATCGCTGTGAGTTCGACACCAGCCTGGGCTACATAGTGAGTTCCAGGACAGTCTCAACTACATAGTGAGACCCTGTCTCAAAAAAACAAAACAAAAAATCAAAAAAAAAAGGAATTTTTCCTGGAACTTTATCCCATAGTTCTGTAAAAATGGTTGTATTGGATGCTTTCTAAGAAATAATGTGCTTGTGAACTGAAATATACGTGCTGTATAAAATCAGGCAGTTCTGTGCCAGTAGCACATATCCAAGAATGGGGATTTCCAAGAAGTAAACTTGAGCTCTTTTAAAATCAGTACTGGGGGTTGAATTCAGGGCCTTAGCACTGAGCTATATCCCCATAGCTTTTCCTTCCCCTAAAATCCCAGCACTCGGGAGGCTGAGGCAGGAGGATCGCTGTGAGTTCGACACCAGCCTGGGCTACATAGTGAGTTCCAGGACAGTCTCAACTACATAGTGAGACCCTGTCTCAAAAAAACAAAACAAAAAATCAAAAAAAAAAGGAATTTTTCCTGGAACTTTATCCCATAGTTCTGTAAAAATGGTTGTATTGGATGCTTTCTAAGAAATAATGTGCTTGTGAACTGAAATATACGTGCTGTATAAAATCAGGCAGTTCTGTGCCAGTAGCACATATCCAAGAATGGGGATTTCCAAGAAGTAAACTTGAGCTCTTTTAAAATCAGTACTGGGGGTTGAATTCAGGGCCTTAGCACTGAGCTATATCCCCATAGCTTTTCCTTTCTTTTTTTTTTTTTTTACATTCTTTTTATTGAGTTTATTGGTATAATCGAGGTATACAGTACAGTTACATTCATTATTGGGATCTTGTACCTTTACAGGACAGGTCTTGGCTCTCATTTTTCCCCTTGTCCCTGCCCTCCCTTCTCCCCTTGTCCCCCTCCTCCCCTCCCCATTTACAAACACTTTATTTCCAGTTTTTCAGTTTCTCATATTTTTTCCTTTCCCTTATTACCTTCCCCCACCCTTCCCACTTTCCCTACACCTTTAGCCCTTTACTTCCTATTTCACATTATTAATTGTCTCATTAGGATCCTGTGTACTATTATAGTTTTTCACACCAGAAAAACTATTCGGTATTTCAGTTAAAGAAATCTCTGTATGAACATTAAAAATAAGGAATCCTAACATGAAACTAAAAAGGAAAGTAAAAGAGAAAAAGCAATGATGTAACCCTTAATTAATCCTTAATTCTGAAGATGAAAATGGTCCCTGAACATATTTAAATTGCTTCTTGCTCTTGTGGTCTTATTCTTTTTTTTTTTTCATTATTTAGAGAATACTTTATTAGTTTCTGTAATCAAACCCACGTAGCTTTTTCTTTTTAACTTTTTACTTTGAGGCAGGGTCTTATTAAGTCCCTAAATGCCCAGGCTGTGCTAAAACTTGCTATCCTCCTGCTTCAGCCTCCCAGAACACTGGGATTAGAGGTGTGCACCCCCCGATGGCCAAATTTGACCATAGAATGGCAGTAATCTCTGGGTTCCCCTTAAATATAAACTACAGAGATTCCATTTATATTAATTGGGTCTTAAGTTAATGATTTGGTACAAATAAAAACAATTAGTTAACATCATGGGCCCGAATTTGGGGAAAGAGGGGAGGTAAGTATGAAGATGACAAAATTTTTCCAACTTGGGGCCCAGGTTGAAGTTGTTCAAAACAAAACAGCACTACTGAAACATTTTCACTAAACAATATTCACCCTTTATATATTCCCTGCACACTTGAGACCCCTCCCTCCCCAGTTCCGGTGGGGACGAGTGTGTGAACCACAAATTAAGTGCAGTAACCTGCACTTTGAAGAAACCACCAGTAGAGGGACCCAAAGTTCTATCCCACCCTAAAGTGATGGTGCCTTGCCAATTGCCAAGGGAAAAATAAACTCACAGTGCCCTATGAGCAGGCAATACAATTAAAAAGGTATGCTGGGCCTAGAATTGGGAGATAATACAGGACTGTCAGGAAAGTCACTTAATCGTTCCGGCGTGACTGCAGTTTCCTCCTTCTTGAAGGATTTTATGAAACCTTTTCTAAATGTTTATCTTTGTGAAAATATACTTGTTCCAGACTGAATAATCTTATATGTATTATGAAAATAATATCAGGATTTTAACTTAAAAATAAAGCTGGTATTTAAAATACTCCCTGAACCCTGTCAGTAATTATTAAAGATGAAACCGACAGGTTTAAAAATTAGGAAGCCTCTCGTTTCCTCTAGGAGGCCACAGTAAAAGCCACCATGCTTCCTACCTTTAACGTTTGCTCTCTCAGATTCCATATTTGGACAGTTGGTGGCTCTTGTTCAGCAATGGCAAAGGAAAGAAAGATTACATTTGTAGAGGCACAGTGACGCTCAACAGCTAGGCCACACACTGAGAGGTCTGACAGGAGACTATTCGGGGAGGCAGGTCAGGGAGAGAGGAGGGAGGAGAGAGGAGAGAGAGAGAGAGAGAGAGAGGAAGAAGGAACACAGAAAGGAAGGCCCTTTTATTGGTTTGGGGCTGGGCTATTGCTTATTTATGAGGAGCGGGCTACTTTTAACCTATCATGGGCCAGGTTGCCCTTGATGGGTTTGGTCCTACAGAAATTTAGGTTTAACTTCTCCAGACTGCTGTGGCCTTCAGGGGAGGGAAACTAAAGATAAGAGCATGAGGTCATTTTAAGAGGCAAGGAGAACCAGGAGAATGCAGCCTGCTATGGCAGTGGTGTCAGGTCCCTAACAACATTATCCATGGATTAATTATATTACATCAAGTTCTACATTTTAAGCATTTTTCCTACCTTGTTGTGATCTATACCCCATTAAACAGAATTCCCCTGTCCAAGAGACAAATTGGCATCACAAATCGCCCAGAATTAAAGAAATCTGAAATCACCCAGCATTTATGGGAAAGCCTATGAATTCATCATCATGAATTTTTCTCAGTGAATCCATTTTAGCGGGCGGTGCTGAGAAATGTAAATAGTTACAGTTTAGTAGTAATCACTTGCCCTGTCTGTCTAAAAAGAAGGAGGACAACCTGAAGATTGAATGTGTAACTCACAATTTAAGTATGGAAAATTGTGCAGTCTTTCAGTTTTATAGACCACTGATTGTTCAGATCTAAAGCCCGCCAATATAGTTGACTCCTCTAGAAAAGATAAAACTCTCTATAGGTATCTTCTCTATAGGTGTGTGTTTGGTGGCTGTGACTAGCCGCGGATAAAGGTCGGAGAGTTTGGAGCTGCTGTCCTTTCACAAATGGTGCAGTCACAGAGAATTAATTATTGCTTCAATGTTAGCCCAAAGGCTTTAAATTCCAACTTTGCATAGATATAGGGCAGAGGGAAAGCTCAGGTTGTGTTACCATTTCTCTATTGGCAGCTTGAGACTTACTGTGCCAATTTGGCCATAAGATCCCCACTTACACAAACTAGGTTATATCTTTGCTCACAATTTAAACACCAGTGAAGATCTCTTGTCCTGGTTACTCTGCTCACTGCTGAGACAAACTATCCGACACCTAAAGTTAAAGGAGGAAAGTCTTACTTAGCTCACAGTTCAGGGTTGGCTGGCTCCAAGGCAGGGTGGCAGGGCAGAGGGGCTTCACAGAGGTGAAACAGTTCATGGCAGGCAGAAGGCAGCAAAAGCAAGCAACAAGGCTCTTTCTGTCCCATGTATTTTATCCAGGCTTCCCACCCTTAGGGCAGGTCACATGAATCTTTGATCCTAGTATCACGCCCTAGATCCAGCCACCTCAGAAAAGCCCTGCCTACTGCAGATAGCTAAATTAGTTAGAAATTATAATAAGGCAGACAAAGCAGGGCCCTCAGCATAGAAAAACAAGGCACATTCACTGGTTAGCATTATAAAAAGAGAAGGTACTGCACCCAGCTACTTCCCCTGGGGATGAATGGCAATGACTGATATTTTCTTTCTTTCTTTCTTTTTTTTTGAGTCAGGGTCTCACATGTAGTGGAGACTGACCTGGAACTCACTATGTAGCCCAGGCTGGTCTGGAACTCACAGTGATCCTCCTGCCTCAGCCTCCCGAGTGTAGGGATTACCGGTGTGCTCCACCACGCCCAGCTCAATGACTGATATTTTAAATAGGCATCAATCGCCCTAATCCCTTTCCTTTCCACAAATTCCTTGTTCACTGCATGTATACTTGCTATGCGACCAGCTTCTCTCCTGGATCCCCATTGAATCAATATTAGCTGGTGACTGTACTTGTAGCCTTGTTGGTCGATCATGGTTTTGTCCCACCTGTGCCCACCTTGTGATTTCCCCTTGGATCTTACTAGTTCACTGTAGCTTTGTCCCATCTTGAACCTGCCTCACCTAGTGGCTTTGTTCAATAAAATGCCTTTGAGAAGAAGAGTGGACAAGCAACCCACTTTCCAATCCCACTTCTGTCTCTGAGAAGCCATCTTTCAATACTTTTTCCTTCTCTTAACCTCCATTGTTCCTAGAAGTTATTCTTCAGTTTTAGAGAACATGAACTCAAATTGTGGATATCTAGCAGGTTGAGAGCTGTAATACTTCCCTTGTTTAGATGATTTTGCCTGTTTGGATTGCTTGCTGCCTTTACCACTTTTGGATCGCTCAGTGCAC